ACTGCTCTGCTGCTTAAAGGTTAGAAAATGCAGGGCAGGGGTGGCCTCTTATTTTCACATCAGCTGTTCAGGCAAGATCCTGATGGCAGGGCATGTTTTTGGCAGATAGTGACTGCTGAGGACTGTCCCAAGATGAAAACTCTCCTAGGGTGTGTGCTTAGTGGGGAAGGCCACAGGCAAAGGGGTCTCTTCCCTCAGTTGATTAGATTTGGACTCCGTCTTCCCCTAGGAAATTCTTGTCCTCTTGGGATGGTCATTTCTGTCCCAGAAGCCAGTGTAGAGCAAGGGTCTGGAACTGGCTACCTCCAGGAGCCAGGCAGGCGATATGAATCTGCAAAGGGCTGGATGGGCACTTTGGGAAACCGGAAAGCATGTGCAGCCCTGGCTGAGTGTTGCCACGCACAATTCCTGCTCTTCCCTTGCCAAATACTTTGATTTTTTTTTCAATACAAGTTAGAAATGAAGAATTTTATTTTTCAAGATTTTTAGATGTTGGCACTAATTCAAATTTAAAAAATAAAATGAGACTGCAAGAGGCAAACAAAACACATTTGGGACCTCTGGTCCTTGTTTTCATCCTAGGAAGGTGGGTGTCCTTAGGATACCGGAGCATTACTTTACGGGGAGAAAAGTGGAAGCCCAGGCAGAATGCATTGCTTCTGGCAGTATTACTGAGTTAGTCTCCATGCTGGGGATTAGATGTTCCACAGCAAATGAGAAGGTCCAGTTCCTGCCCTCCTGGAACTCCCAATCTAACGAGGTAGAGACAGACAAAGAGGCAGCTACAGGAGTAGGAAATAATCAGCAGGATTAAGGACGTGGAGTGGGGGCTGGGGGGGGAGCACAAATCAAGGAAGGCTTCCTGCAAGAAGGGTCCTTTGGTCTGACACTTGAGAATTACTAGGCGTTAGCCAGGGAAGGAGTGGGGGGTGGAGGGGTATTCCAGATAGAATAACACATGCAGAGGAGCATGAGAGAATTAGATTCATTCAAAGATCTGAAAGTAGGGGCCGGCCTGTGGCTCTTTTGGGAGAGTGTGGGGCTGATAACACCAACGCCATGGGTTCAGATCCCTATATAGGGATGGCTGGTTAGCTCACTTGAGAGAGCGTGGTGCTGCCAACACCAAGTCAAGGGTTAAGATCCCCTTACCGCTCATCTTTTTTTTTTTTAAAAAAAAAAAGATCTGAAAGTAGCTCATTGTGGATGGAGCTGAAAGTGGGGGTTGGGAGAAGGACTCGTGGCAAGAAATGAAGCTGGAGAGTTAGGCAGAGGTTGCAAACAAATGTCTGTTGGGACAATCGAGAGTGGTGGGGCCTGGGGCGCGCTGGAGTCTGCTGCCACTCAGCTGTAGCTACTCTGCTGCAGACCAGGGTTTCTGAAGCTTTCTGTTTTTTAGGAGCAGTGGGAAATTAGATTATTAAGTGCAGTGCCTTGAGTTTTGCATTAAGGTCACTGATTTGGACATTTAAAGTATTCTACAAGGTCGGGGCCGGCCCGGTGGCGCACTGCTACAGTGCGCCGCTTGGGAGCGTGGTGGCACTCCCGCCGAGGGTTCGGATCCCACATACCGACCAGTTCCCGCTCACTGGCTGAGCGAGGTGTGGGAGCAACACCGAAGGTTGCGATCCCGTTGCCGGTCCCGGTCCGGTACGGGCACGACACTGAGGGTTGCGATCCGTTGCCGGACACGGAAAAAAAAAAGTATTCTACAAGGTCAAATAAAATCTGTTTACATCTATCCCGTGGGCCACCAGTTGTGGAGTTGTGAAGGCCTTCGAGCCACTTTAGGGAATGAAGGCTAGATTCTGAGGACATTGGGGAGCCACTGGGGGCTTTCAGCACGGGCATGACACCCCAGCCTCATGCCAAAAGGGCCTGGTGGCTGTCGTCTGGACAGCATCAAGAGGGGTGGCAGCCAGTTGTTTGGAGGATACTGTGACACCTGGGGAGGGGCAGGAGGTGATGGAGGTCTGCACAACTTGAGATGTGGGAGAGTTGGGATTTAGTGACAGATTAAAAGGGACGGTGGGGGCGGGGTCAAGGCTGATGCAGAGGTCAGGCAGCAGGTGCAGAAGGAGGGGAAGGAGCAGGGATGGAGGAGGATGTTCTCGGTGTCAGTGGGTCTCGCAGGGAGGTGCCCAGCAGATCTGATCCCAGGGGGGCTGGAGTCACATCACCTCTGCGCAGCCCACTCAGTTCCCTGTGCCAAGACTAGCTATTCTTTATTGTGTGCACCTGTCACGTGGGCCCAGTGGGGTGAAAAGGACACAACTTGACCCCAAGGAACTGCAGTCCACCTGGGAAGACAGACTGAGGACAATTGATGAGTCCAAGGCAGGAGGCTTGCCCAGAGCCCGTCCCAGAGGGCAGAGTCCTGGCTGGGATGAGCAGTGACTTCATTGCCTCGGAGCCAGGGGAGGCCTGTCCCACAGAAACTGAGGGTGACAAGGAGATGGGGCAGGGGATCCAGATGGAGTACACTGCCCCAGCATAGGCTGGGAGGTGTGATAGAGGCAGTGGTTAGTGGGTAAAGGGAAGAATCCAGAAAGACAAACTTCTCCTTCCCTGCATTTCATCTAGGAAGGATAGAAAGCATTTCTCAAGAGGTAATAATTCCTTTGAATTTCTGTGGACACCTGCTCAGAGGCCCTGCTCCATTCTCCCCTGGCACAATTAGAAGGTGTTTAGTAAACATTCATGGTACTCCTTCCCCCAACTCGTGTTTAAATTCTGCTATAGTTTGTCTGTGTGTGTGTTTATGAATTTCCATTGGTCTGTGTTGATTGTGGCCAAGATCAAGAGTTGAAAGGGTTGAGGCCCAAAATGGGTGGTATACAGTGGAGTTCAAATATTCAGAGGTGGGCCGGCCCGGTGGCTCACTGCTACAGGGTGGCGCTCCCGCCGAGGGTTCGGATCCCACATACAGACCGGCCGCTCACTGGCTGAGCGAGGTGCGGGCGCAACACCGAGGGTTGTGATCCATTGCCGGTCACGAAAAAAGACAAAAAGGAAAAAAAAAATAAAAAACAAATATTCAGAGGTGAACAGAGGTGTTGGGGTGGGGAAAGGAATTCTAAAGTGCCCTGCCCTCTCTCTCTTTTAATATTAAATCTCAACCCACTTGCTGTGGGACACTGCTGTGCAGACCCCTAATGCAGGCCTGGCATGCAGTGGGTACTCAATGCACACTTGCTGGATGGAGTTTAGGTCTTGAATGATCAGACA